TCTAATCTTTTATGTATTACTTGTTTGAAATTCAAGAATAACTTTTATAAGTAAAAGGTAAACGAAATATAGAATAGCATTATTATTTACATCTTTAATTTTCCTAAATTATATAATAGTAGTTTATAAGACAGGAATAAAAATAAATAGAAGGCAATGACAAACAATTGAAATGCACTAAAGAGTTAACTTAATTAATATACTATATGCAATAAATGTTAGACAAAAGTTAAAATATCATTATGAGAGAGAAAGAGAATGAGGAGTAGAAATAAGGTAATAATTGTTAATACCTAACTAATTGGAGACAATTATGCATGGGTAATTGGTAAGGTTTATTTTTGGAATGTCATTGAATGAGATTAGTTGACTAAATTTAAATTTTTTTGTGTTAATTAAAGTTGGGCAAGGAATCGGCCGGTTTAATGAAAACCGTTTTGATTCAACAATCCAACTGTCAAACCATCTGGGCTAATTGCTTTCACAAAAGTCAATGATCATAACAAAAGTTGACTGGGTGGTTTTTTAATCCCTTTGGGTTTGACACATAATCTGACCCTCCTAGCAGCCCGATCGATGATTCAACGGGTTCAATCGGGTGGTCCGGGTTGGGTTTCAAAACCTTGCTTGGCGCATTATGTTAAAGTCAACGATCTAGATGATTCTCTACAGAACTCATTTCCAAATTTTGTTAAGCAATTGGTGTGCGATGAATTCCAACAAGTTCATCAATAAAATAATTTCTTTTCTTATGAAAAAAAAAGGATAACAAGGCTCTAGCCGTAAAATAAATTCATTGGGCTTGATACCTGCAAAATACTTAGACCTTGATCCAAAATAATATTCAGCTCCAATGATGTCATTTACGCCCATTAAGTTCCACCACCACATTTTAACATTTCATTCATAAAATGGAAAATTGTTCAAAAATTTCCTTATATTTTACTAAATGAATTTTTTCGTTCTTCATTTTTAAAATGGTAACTTTACATCCCTAATAAATTTAAGTTATTAAAATTTGGTCTCAACCTATGTTTTCAATCACTTTCACCATGTGACTCATAGGCAGTCATTTTTTTTAATACACAAAATTAAAGGTCATATTTCACATTTTCAATGGCAAAAATGAATACGGATCGAGTCAAATTTCATTTTTTTTTAGAAAAAAAGGAATATAATTCAGGTTAGAGCCTACTTTTTAGGGACAAATTTAAATATGAATTAGGTCATTTGTTTAATTACAAATGAAATTTAACATTTTCTTTCCCTAAAACAATGACAACGCATAGGCCACGTGATGAATTTAGGGTAAAAAGTATTTAAAACTTAGATTGGGACTAAATTTTACTGATTCAATTTTGTAAGAGACATAAAATTACCATTCTAAAAGCGAAGGACGAAAAACTTCATTTGACGAAATGTTTTGAACAATTTTGCCTTTATAAAAACTAGGCTAGCATTTCAATCATTCATCGATTGCCGTCTCTTTTAACCCACCAAACAGGTAGAATGGTTCAATTGAGCACTTTAACAAGTGTCGCGGGTGACAAGAAAAAAGGTATATGTACCGGGAAAAATGAAATTTTGGAAAAGTTTAATATTTACTGGCGCACCTAAATTGGTGCAACGTATAATATACTTCCATATTTCAATTCTGCATTTACTTTTATAGCTATATATCAAGAATTGATAACTTTTTTTTTTTCCTAAAATTGATTATTGAAAAAGAAGAGTTATGTATATTTAAAACAAACTTGTCAATAGGTTTATACAATTTATTATCTAAACACGCAAGGAACAAATTAAGGATTGGTTTGCCTTTTCATTAAGAAAGTACTTGAGCTAGCTGAAGCAGCAAGAACGACAATGATTGTGATATAAACAAGAAGCTAACCCTCAATAAAAAAAAAACGATCCTCTTTTCTTTTGGAATTTTCATGAAAATAATTGTAAATAGATAACATATACTTCATCTGGGGTACTAAATCTAAATGTGTGTTCATCTATTAAACTTCATATGTTATTTGTATTGTTCAGTCATTTTGTTTTTTTTTTAAGCAGTAATTAAGAGGATATACTATTTATTAAAAAAAAATTATTGAGTAATTACACTTGGTAGAGTGGGTCTGGGCCACTTGGTATTGAGTAATTATTAGGGAAAGTTTGAGGGAAAATTAGGAAAATAGTAATAGGAAGGTTGGAATATTAGATATTTGTAAGTGGAGTATATATAACTTTTGATAAATTTGAAATTGAGGAATTTGTCACTATTCATGTTATATCAATTAGCATCCGAAATGCTAATTTACATAAATGACCTTGGCTGTGAGCAGCTAGTGAAGTAGTGGTAGAGCAAGGCTAACGATTAATAAGGCTGCTATTCTCGGAATAGCCTGCCACGACACGAGCATCAATCTTGGTTTCCATAATCACTGCTTTTTCTGGAGAAACCAAAAAACTAAAAAGGAAAGGAAAATGGAGAAGAAGAGAGAGCCGCCTCGGCCTGCCCGACCCATTCTCGTGCAAAATAGTAAATCCATTATTTTGCTCTTTGACAAGAGGGTTTTGGTATAAAATTTGTTGCATTTGGACTTGCTTTGCAAGTAAAATTATGGTGATAAGAGGATTTTGGTATAAATTTTGTTGCATTTGGACTTGCTCTACAAGTGAATGAAACGTTGCCGTTTGGGGAAAAAAAAAAAAAAAGGACTTGCTCTGCAAGTAAAATTCTACTGTCTAAGCCAAAGATTTTTTATATAGATCTTATAGGACTCGGCGAGTCGAACGTGATTTTTAGGTGATTATAATTAAGCATGTCAGTGGGTATGGGATTCTTGATCTAGATTCACTACCCAATTTTAGACCTAGACCTTTACGAATTTAGAGGGAAAACTCGGGATTAGAATCTCATGAGTTTGGATGTCCACTAGGTATCCGTACGTAAGTATCTTTCTCAATATACAGTGGATAACTAAGATAAAGGTATTAAAAATATATAAAACTCAAAGACAATATAAATATCATCTAATTTTTATTTTCAAATAATAAAATTAATATTCAAGAAGTTGAGGAGTATTATAAATCCAAAGAAAGAACTATTATCAACTAATTCTATACACACACATAGGTTTGGGTAGAGTTTAGGTTGGTTCTAGATTTGGGCATTGTCATAAAAAATCAAATCCTATCCAAATTCGTGATCCGCTCATATGGTTTACATCTAACTTAGAAAAATTAAATTCAAACCCATAAAAAGTATGTTAGGTCTGGATTGGATCAGACTAAGATTCGATTCATTGGCATGCTTAGATATGACAGAGCACAATGAGTTTGGCCTTAATTGGCAGTGCCACACCCATTTTCAAGTTGAATGTCCCATTCTTATTCCTTGAAAAATAAAATAAGTCGAATGATATATTTTGTCTATAAGAAAAACCTCATCAGAGGTGGTGGCCAGGGACCAAGGGCAGGAACGGTTGCTCTTGCAACCATTCCTGAAGGTTATGTGTATTTTGCACACGGTGTAACTCTGTTTGTATATGTTGTAACTTATTTTCAATAACGTGTAATTCTAGAACAAAATTTTGTGAGTCCCACATATGTTGTTAAAAACGAGGTACAATATAAGATATGGACCGTACAATTTTTTTGGGTCAAATCTTGGACGTGAACTGTCCTGCAACCATTCCTGCCCTTCTTCCGGTGGCCAGCTGCAGTCCATGATGGAGCTGGTGACTACTGCTACCCAGGAAGTTGAGGTATTTCTTTTGAAAAATTAGACAACCTAAGGACTAAATTATAATTAACTTTTCTCCTGCCGAACTATTCGGGATGCTGTGGTAAATTCACCACATCTTACCATTTTTTTAAATAAAATTAATGAACATTACTAGTTCCCCAAATACAAATGCATAAGGGGAAGCGAGATAGGTTGGATAGTACCCACGGGCAGATCTTGCATTCGAAACTTTTCACTTTCATTAAAAATCTTTATCCTACTTTTGAATTTTCAGTCTTTCTATCAGTATATTTGTAATTTGAAAAAATTATTCAAAATGTCCCTCATATTTCGTCAAATAAATTTTTTTATCCTTTACTTTTAAAATATTAACTTTATACCCTTTACAAATTCAAATTAGCAAAATTTGGTCTCAACCTAATTTTCTGACCACTTTTTAGCATGAAATCACCATGTAACTCATACTCACTCATTTTTTATGTACAAAAAGGTTAAATCTCAATTTTTTAGTGGCAAAAATGAATATGAGTTGGGTTAAATCTTACTTTTTTAGAGAAAATATGAATATTGTTTAGGTTAGATCTTACTCTTATTGGATAATATTGAATATGGATTGCATTGTTTATTTAAAATGGGATTATCTTTGTAAAGGGGGATGGTCATATTTCTTTTTCTTCTTTGGCTACAGCCTACAGGTACAATCTAGTGACATGGATGGAAGCCTGGAATTGTTGGAAATATGTTGTGTGCTTTCTCCTGGATGGTTTGATAGAATTCTTGAAGTTCCGCAACAAGAAAATTACTCTGCTTTATCTTCTCTTGTTTTGCAGGTTTACTGAATTCTAAGGTGAAATTCCTTATTTTCCAGCTAAAAGACTTGCCACTGGATATAGTTATTATACTTGGTGAATATGGTATATAGACTGCATTAGCTCCTAAACTTATGTCCCTGTTGTTATCCTTTTGTTAAGCCTGCAATTTTCACCTCACCCTATCCTGATAAGAATGTTTTCTATTGTGATGCCCCTTGGAAACTATCAAGAGGTATCGTTTGCTTTTGTTTGCTTACATTTCTCACTCAATTAGAAATTGAATTCAACCTTTTCTCCTACTTTGGATTCTGCATTTATAGGCTCATGTTTTTAAATCAAAATTCGGTGCTTGCGCATTATAGACCATTTAGTGAAAACAAATCTGTAATTGCGTACTTATTGTAATCATATTTGGTAATTACTAATGTAATTTTATTTCTCAAATACTATACAATATCTCAAATCTCCTTTTGCTCTTTCATTGGAAAAGCTATCATGTCAAACATATTACAAACTTGGAATCAGTATCCAAGGAACAAAGGTTGAATAGCTAAACCTACTCAAATGAGGCAAATAATACAATGCGATAATTTTTATTAAATACAATACAATGAGATGTTGCAGTACAAACAAGAAGAAATCCGCTCTTACAGATAAGCCATCTCAACTCTGACAGCCTATAACCCAGTAGTGTGCTGTCAAAAGGCCGCTACCAACAAACCCCCTGGTGCGCACCAGCTTATTGCCCGATTGGAAACTTTCGAGATTAGTCTTTCTGCATTATGGATGGCACACTTCCACCTGTCTTACTCAGGCAGGTTTTGTTGCCAAATTTCCAATCAAATGGTTATTAAGCTTCTGCTCCACTACTCAACTGTAGGGTCATTTTGATATTCATGGCTGCCAACTCTGCTGCTAAGTATCGAAAGACATAAGGCATTGCAACTGTCTCCATTCCCTTACTTGTCTGGCAAGCAACACACATGACTTTTTTGGGGATCCTACCGGGTGGCAGACCAATGATCTCGCGGATTGCTCGTTGCTTTGTTGGGATGAGTGATGTTGTCAAGAGGCTTCCGCAAATAGAGCACACATCAGCAACGTGATGATCAGAACTAATATGAAGCCTGTCATGCAACAGATATGCTGCACCATGGGCAAGAAGGGAATCTCTTTCCATTTCCCCAAACCGGATACCCCCACCACGCTTCCTTCCTTTAATAGGTTGTCTGGTTATTTGATCTACCGTTCCAGTAGACCGTACCTGAGAAAAGAAAGGAGCAAGTTCAACGCAACAACTATGTCTATAACCGTCCAGATGCAAAGGAATTATACACAAAGAGCATATAGATAAAGCCACGAGAATGTGAGGAAGTCACTATGCAAAAGCCAAACACTGTTGGAAACTCACCGAGAAGCAGATCAATTTTCCACAACATTAGTTACTTTATTCTGTGCATATCATTCAAATCAATCCCCTATTACACCCACATAAACTGACGACGTAGGACAAATTCAACAATCAGATTTTGTACGGTTAGTCACTAAGAAAATCAAAGATGCCACTGCAACTGCTAGCTCTTAAGATTTTTGTCAAAAACATGCCAAGAACTCGTCTACAAATTCTACCATGCAATAGAAAGGACAAGAAGCTGATTTTTCCAAGTAGTGGACATGACCAAGCAAGCCAGCTTAGGAAAATGGTACTAGTTACATTCTGCATCAAATGCAGAATTTGGACAACACTCAAAAAACAGAAAGCAATATTTGTCTTAGATGCATTTTCTAGGCAAATCCAAAGTCTAGATTTTGTACACTAAACACAAAACATTAACAATTAATTCATTAATACACCAGAACTTTCAAAGAGAACCAATATATTACTAACTTATTGTTTTTAACAGAAGATGATACCTGAAATTTATCAGATACCATATGTCGGAGTCGTTGATAATAAACAGGCCCAATGAATATTTCACATGTTAGTTCAGTTCCATAAACCCCACTGTACAGTACTTCTGAACCATGGTAGTTGAACCCATAAGCAGTCAACATTGAGCCAAGTTCATCAACCAGTGAACTTGATTCAGACTCCTGTCCTTCATTTCCCTTCTTCAGCAAGCTCGTAAAAGGAGTTGCATCCATAAATTTCCCATGCAAGGCACCACCCTATAACAAGATAGGGATGAGCTAGCTATTAAATCAATGATTAATCGTTACAGACAATCAAAGGAAAGACAAACTACAGGAAGTGGCTTAAATTAAATTTCATGTGTAATAAAAGATAAAAGGCTCCATATTGACAAGAATGGGAATGCTAAAACTATTATAACGTTTAAATGCATTAATCGACCACAGGCACTTGACCAAAATATACAAGTTCATCATGAATTGGATTAGGAGAAGAAAAGGAAGGAATAAATTTTAGTTGAAAATCAACTCTTCATTATGATTCTGCCGAAGGAGGGCCTTCTTTTAAATTTTTAACCTACTCATAGCAATTAACACCTATCTATACCTATGAACTTGATCCAAAAAACCATACAAAAGATAAGCATACACTTCAAGACCATCTATAACACCCAAGTAAAGGCTGCTCCTGAAAACAATTTTTAGTTGCACTGTGAGGTTCTTCCTAAGCCTGGTCGATCCTTTCTGTCCAAAGTGACCCATAATTGCATGAAGGTGAAGTACCCTAGACGTTGTCCTTATCTTCTTCCAGCAATAGTAAATCACAGCTCAACAGAAGGCTTCTATGTTACGAGTCACTGCTCATTGCACTCCAACCAAGGCCAAGAAGACTGCCAAAGTCCACCAGCAGTTTGACAGTTTATTAACAGAGTACAAGTTCGCTCTTTATCTTGTAGACAAAGAAGAAGTAACTCATACAACTTAGGCTCAACTTTGAAAAATTGAATCCCATCTTAGTAGACCAGATTTACTTTGAGGATAAGTCCTGCACATGATGGCCTCTTGAAGAGCTATGGCAGGACAGACATTCAAAATCTCTACGTTCTGACATTTATAATTGCCCAAGTTGGAATGCAAAAGCTTCAAAGCTAAAAATATTCTGTATTACATGCCTGAATATCTCATGGACGATATTTATTAGAAACAAGCAGTTTAGAATTGTAAAAATAGCAGTACAAAAAATATGTAAGATTCAAAATTAATACTATTTGGCAAACATCAAATAATATATTTTTTTTGCAGATTATAGGTTTATTCCCTGGAAAAGAGCTGCAGGCTTCAAGAGCTGGGAGAAAATAAAAGAACTCTGAATTTACTAATGCATTTGTCATTCCACTGACAGGCTCTAAAAGATGGTCGTGCTAGGCTAAGACCAGAAAGAAGCTCCGCTGTGTAACACAGATGTTAGGAAAAGCTTTGACACGTCATGGCTGAACGACAATGTCAGCAGTCCAAAAGACACTGTGCAATATTGCAAATAATTTGGATTCATCAACTTTATCAACAGATGATATCCAACTTACATGTATTTCTGCTAAATTATGTACTTTGCACTATTCTAGAAGAGAACATAATGCAAGCTTGCTAGCATTACCTTAGCAGCAATAGATTCTAAAAGCATCCCAATTGTCATTCTTGACGGAAAAGCATGAGGGTTGATAATAAGATCTGGCCGCATTCCAGTGAGTCCTGCGAATGGCATATCAATATCTGGCCAGAGTTGAGAGCATACACCTTTCTGGCCATGTCTACTGCTAAATTTATCACCAATTATAGGATTTCTGGGACGTCGGAAACGTATATTAACCTGAAAAAGAAAGGGGTAAAACATCCAATTGAGCCAGTGCCACTTCCAAGAAATCTGTGAGAAAAGCAGCCAGAAACATTTAAAGCATGCTAAAGCATTGTGCTAAGTAGATCAGCATGATATGATTTTGTAAAAAGGTGAGGAACCAAAACAACAGGACCAAAGCTAAATAATCCGCATTGAACTCTCTCTGTCTCTCTCTCTCTCTATATATATATATATAAAAGATGCAAGCATGTTCTTGCATGTTATGTTTCTCAAGCATAGATACAGCAATACACGAGCAAACATTCTCGCAAAAAAGAATAAAAGTGACCGCCAAGGTAACGGTTATCTAGCAATCAGAAGGACAATTCACATCGTCAACACTCATAATAAAATTTAATCACATCATCAAACTATAAGTCCTCAAGTACTTCCTATCAGATATTAGATAATCTGAATTCACTTATCAACATAGCTGCTTTCTTTGGCACATATATACACCTGAGTGACGAAGAGTAGTCAACCAAGGGCAAAAAGTCAAAGACAAAAGGAGTAGAAAACCTTCAAATGCAACATATAAGTTCAACCAAAAAAATATTTTCACGTGAATATTTAGAAACATAAACAAATTAGCATACATTCTTTCAGAACCAACAATAATATTAATTTCATGTTAATATTTAGAACAAGCAGGAAAACTCACCTTCTGTAAGTTATTCTTGTTTTTCACATCAACAGCAACATAGTCTACAACAACGGACTCAGATCCTTTTAACTTGGTACTTGATGTTGAACTTGTTATCTCATTATAGATGCTGCAGTATGGTTCATTTGGCTTTATCCTCTGGCATTTATGCTAAAGAATCAGTAATTGGTGATGGGAAAGTTGTTTTGATGCAAGAAAGATTTTTTACCTGCCCAACATATGGAAGACCGTCAGAATCAACCAGATGCTGAGATGACTTGTCTAGGTTGCTTCTTCTAAATATTCTCTGTCCACGACCAGAATTGCTTCTCTGTTCAGTAAGGTCTATTGTTTCTGTCTGCATATTAGAACTCAAAGAAGTGAACAAGCAGAAAATGATAGCTGTGAATCAAGCAAAAACAATGACCTAGCATAACCAAATAAGAAATGAAAATGCATAATAAGTATTTGTGAAAGACATCGATCATCTCTTTCTGTTTACTCTATTTTAAGTTCTCTCTTTTCAAGGGGACAGGGAAGGTGATGTTTTTCAAGCATGAAATAACCCTAACAACATATACGATGTAACAATATCATCGTAGTCTAAAGCTGCAGTAAACAATTACTACAACTCAAAATTGTCCTAAATACTGTTAAGGGTTTGAAATGAAACAAGAAGACAAGTTGAAATAGTAGCACTCCTTGCCTCCTAAACCAGTCATTTAAGATGAAAACAAGACAAATCAATCAAGCAATAAGTACAAAGCAACAATATTAGCTAATTAGACTATGATATTTGATTCCTATAGTTGAAGAAAGACAAAAAATGAAGTTTGACAGTTATTGTAGTGTAGATGCGTATTACTTTAATGGATATAAGGAAATTAATTAGGAGAAACAAATCTAAAATTTTCCTTTTTTCTGCTTTATACTACAGTCTCGGGGAACCACGTCTTCCATCCTAAAAGATGGTTTTGTAGTAAAACAGCAAAAGAAAAAAATCAGCAAATGCCTGCAACATGGTTAGCAAGTATTCAGTGCATTCAAACCAGTGCTCCCATAAGGCACCTTAAACATCCACTACCAAGTATCATGAATTAGAAGATGTATAACGCCTTTTGGAAGAAGACAAAAAACACACTTGGAGAAGGTTTTGGTACAAAGGGAAGATTCCATTGTAGTGAATAATGTCTTCCAATATTAGCAGTTGGATATTGAGTTTGTCTAATGGTTTTCAGTGTGTTTTCAGCCTGTGCAAACATGTAGAGTGGACACACAAGTGTTCTTGGGAGGAGAAAGTTGGTGTAATTGGCAAAGAAACTTTTTTAATTAAAACTCAAGAAGTTAATTGATCACTTGTTGTGGATAGCCAATCTTTCCAGTTCACCTCAACATTCCCTACTTGTCCGACCGTTGCTGAGCAGTTTTTGGATAGTAAGATGCATTCTTGATTCCTTTATTTAGTGATCTTACCTTGAGTAGGAATACTAATTGGAGCTAGAGATAATAATTCTAATTCCAATTTTATTTCTAGTGAAGATATAACTTCACTTAATTTAATCAAACCCCATTTCAAGATTCAATTCCATTACTCATGTATGACTGTATACTTCACCAACTAGAAGACAGTTCATATTCAACATTTCAAGCAAGTACTTGAAATGTTTCATACAAGTGTATCAACAAACATTCTCTTAAGAACACAACTTTTCGTTTCTAAACCAGAAACCTCTGAAGATGGTTTATTAATCCCTAGAATGCTTGCACACTGGTCCATTGTAGTGCAAGAAGAAAGTTTAGGTGAGTCTCTGAACGGTTTTTAGGTTATCAAACACATTGCCTAAAATTATTTTGAATTACGTTTTTCGGTTATCAAACACTCGGGGAAGTGCTATACGGTAGTAACAACCACTTCTTTCTAATTGCTAACTTAAGAGACTTGGTAATCACACAAGTAGAAATGGCCCACATTTACCCCAAAAAACATAGTAGATGACCCAAAACACATTTCTTTAACATAGATATCTAAAAAACAAGCATAAGTTACTGAGCATAGCATATGATGCCTTACCTACCTGAAAACTTCTAATACTGGCATATATAGTTCACATGATTGGAAGCACTACAGACCATGTAAAGACATTCCCTTATTCCAGAATGAAAGGAGATACAGTCCATAGTCCCAGACCAGAGCCAGCATCAATTACATTCTTGGGGGTCAATTATGCCAACTTCTATTAAATCCTAATTAGACTACATGACTCAAAAAAAAAAAAGTACTTTGATTTTAGCCTGAACACTACTAACAAATGTTTGTTAGTTCCTCAATACTCTTAGCAAAAGATGCAGGATGATAAAAACCTAGTACCCCAGTAAATTAAGACAAGATCTTAGATGTAAAGCAAAAGTGTTGAGATTAAGATTGATAATGTTCAAAAATTAAAGTGACTACAAGTACAATATAAAAAGATCATTGCATACTGCATCTTTCTGATTGTAGTCAAGAAACTAAAACTCCAAGCACCACATGCTACCTGATATATGTGACCATGAAACATCCCACGTTCCACAGATGATTTATTCAAGACCATGGCATCCTCCATATCATATCTACAGGATACCAAGAAAAGTATAAGTACCTATAATATATAATTCAGATTTTCAACATGTTTATAATTCATACCCTGAATAAGCCAAAACTGCCACAATAGCATTTGTTCCTAATGGAAACTCATCAATGTGGTACTTTTCATATGCCTTTGTGCGTACAATAGGTGTTTGGGGAGTCTGTAAGGCACAATATCAAGCAGAGTCAAAAGAAGGGTTAATCAGCCACATTCAAAATATATTCAAAGACTGGAAAGTGAAATCAAAATACCCCCCAAAAATGAGAACTATACAAGTCATCAGAAGGGAGATCAGCAATCTGTTAAGAGTACGAAACTTGCTACTCTACATGACAAATTGTCCACCTTGTCTCCCAGAATCTTGCATGATACTCGCATCTCACCAGATATCAAGTATAAATGTCTCTCTCACTTGTATCAGCACTTCCAAAGTAATTTGCAAATAAATATTTGTCCAAAGTCACAGTAACATGCTAAATTATCAAAGAATGAACCTTCTTTGATTGTTTTAGATGTTTCCATTAAGAAAATTGTTTAAAAAGCAAATAGCACTATACCTCCATTTTACGTATATTACTTATTGCTACTGCTGGCACATCAGCAATCTAGATATGCAAGTGTAAATTGATCCATCTCGCAGTTTCATTGAGTTGGTTAAATGTTTGTGTTTAGGATACCTCCATAGTTGTTCGCAAACAGGTTAATTTATCACAAGACTTCTTACCACATCAAAAGTAAGGTCAGGTTAACTATGAAATACAACACATAGGAGATTCTTATTGTTTTAAAAAAATTAGAATGTAAACAGTGTGCCTGAACCTAAATGCAAGTGTACAACAATCAATGCCAATGATAATCAAAGACCTACTGAAAACTAAATATGAAAATTTCCCATTCTTAATTGATCATAACAGTAAAGGCAATCCTGAATCAAATTATTGCCTAATCTTGCAAGGAAAAACCTAATAAGCAAGGGGCAGAAAGACAATCAACCTATTACATATTCCAAAAAGTGATTGACTCCAAACACACAGATGAACAAGGCAATACATGGAACAATATCACCTTTAATGGGTGAAAAAACTGCTTCATGAAGATGCACACCTAGAAGTGACCACTTCTTGAGTAGATCTTCGGGAGACCAAGTCATTGCCATCCTAATAATGAAGTTAACATAAACTAAAGTATCATCTAAAAGAACTCAGGTATTATGAACAATACCATTATTCATCAAGGTTCTTAACCATGATAGGCACCCCACCACAACCACATTTATATCCTCCCAGCATAAGTTCTGTTTGGTACAATCATGAAACGATTCAGTATGAAATCATCTCATCATTTGACCAGGACGATACTATTTATTCCTATCAACTTAACCTGAATTCTTGTGACACTTCTCATTGTTCACTAAAACAAAAATGTCATTGAAAAAGGAAAAAATTAGCGAAGTAAAATTGGATGAACCAGAAGGGACTGAGAAATCAACTCTTTGAATTATTCCATATTCTCCTTTCGTTTCTCTTTTCCTTTTTCTCTCTTTTTTCTTATTGACCAAAGTGAATTAAAAAAAGGACTCCTACAGCTCATATTTGGCTCTTCTATATAGCAGCATTTTCTGCTTTAGCTGCTCCACCACCCAGAGATAAAAATTTAAAGCAATCGTCTTACACATTTTTTTACATTTATTAAGCATGAAACAGTGAGAATATCTATTACCATTAAAAACTAACTGAAAGGAAAAGAATTTGATAATGAGGAGGAAGCAATACAACCAAATAATAATAATAATAATAATAATGTTGCTCTGCACCGCCGCTACCAAGGAATCATTTTATTGGAAATGCCATTTTCTATAAAAAGCAAAAGGACAAAACTTTCAGAACAAACCTGAAGATGATAAAGCTTTTGATCAGCACGACTGTGTAATGCTTGAGAAGGGAATCCCATGGTTTGTTTTCCCATCTAGATGACATAGAGCATAAATAGTAAGAATAGCAGCACTTATACAAACAAATTAACTGTTTGAACCACATGTGGCAAACCTGACACTGGTACATATTACGAGGGCTTTGATTGTGATCTGACCAAGGTGTAAGATTAGCAACAACACTCAATATCCCAGTTGGGTGAATTTCTTCATGAGTTGCAGGAAACATACTCTTCCTCCCACCACCTCCACCATCAGGACAGCTTATTTCCATATAGACCTGCACAAAGCAGTATCCTTATAAGAAGGCAAAATTCCGCACTACAATGGATCCAGTGCAAGAGTTAAGTACATAGCAGAAAATCTTTATGTAGTTACAGAAGCACAAGTAGGCTGAAGTACCTATTGGCAATTATAACTACCTGTTCAAAGGGTCCGATAAGTTCAAACTTGTTGCCCTCTTCAGGAGGGATCGAGATATTTCTGACTGGACGAACAAATCTTGAAGGAGATGTGAACAGGAATAAGCCAGGGTATGCCCCACACATGCTCAAAGGAACATATCCCACCTCGAGATCCTCAGGAATCTATTATTTCCGTACATTATAAGTACTGATTTAAAAACTAATTTTGAAACATAACGCAACAGAACATACCTGTGCTGTTGCTGACAATTTTAATCTTCGCATGTGTGTGACCGCCTTTTCAACTAGGTCAGATGGTATTGAACCAACAACACGACCATCTAAAAGAACAGAAAGAACTTTAGGAGGACCAGCCTGCACAAGCTTTGGCAGCGAGGGTGTCATTCCAACACCAACAAGAACACTCAGAATTGACATCCTAGTTTTCAGGAAGTCTCTGACATTTCCCTCGTTATCGTAGTATGAAGTGATACCTGGCAAAATGTTACATTCCATTATAATTTAACCATGAAAAATACAGCTATCGAGTTTGCAAGCATTCCACGTTTCTTGTTAGGCACAAAACCTACATCTTGGCAATTCACACAAATTCAAATGACATCTTCTGAGAAGCAAAATCACAGGCCAGAATACACACACACACACACACAACACAGCCAGTATCATATGTATACCAACCTAATCTTTGTTGAGAATATCTTGTTGTTGAAAATGTCTAGTTACTAGGATCCTATATCAATTATGACTGCTCTTAAGTTTCATTCTTTGCTTTGACCTGTGATGTCATATGACTGTTTCAGCAAATTCTACTTAAGTATTACTAGATCCTTCAATAAAGACTAAAGAGTAGAAGAAATTTTATGCATCTTTACCCGTGCACCAAATGGCAATTTATTCACCTCCTACATTCTTGGAGATAGCCTGGTTCTTGATATTAACTAGAATGGAATAGATCCATGCATTTTGTACATCTTACATTTTTCAGTGGGGCTCATATGCTTTACATCCTTATTTAAGGCATGACTCTCCACTTTAGCTTCTGGCACCCAATCTGTTTAAGTACCAAGGCTTCATTAGAGCTTTTAATCAATGGGTTCGGAATGCCAGTTGACAGAAGAGGGGTGCTAAGAGATTGCGAGCAAGGACCCCATACTGAGATGAGTAAGGGGTCCAGAATAACATCATTAACTGCTTACTGAAATGTTTGCAGACAACTGAAGAAATCCCTTTTAATTACCTAGCACCAGTTAGGAGACATTTTGCTAAATGCTTTTACATTTATCACTTTACTTTTTTTCAAATTATATACAGAAAGAAAAGCATTTTTTAAGTCTAAGTAGTAATGGTACGATTCTTTAACTTTCACCAGGCTAATCAGATGTGACGTGCCTGACTGTATCTAAACATAATGCATAATAAACAGCCTATTAAGAGGCATATCTTCTAAGTTTTTGAGTGCCCATTAGGAGGCAATTGGAAATCAGTCCAGTGACAGGTCTCATTCATTTGATGGACTATACGGATTTTATTGTGTTTGTTATTTTATACCTTTCAACATAAGAAGGAAGGATGGAAGTTGAGATGGAGGTAGGAAGCTACATATCTGCAATGGTGGACAAGTGGACAAAGAGTTGGACAAGATTAGTAAATTAAATGAACATGGAACTCTCAAAATCTTTTAGGACTAATGCATAGTGATATTCTAATATGTTGCAGATTAGTTTTGTGGGATTGACAGTTAAATTTTACAGAGCTTGACAACAAATAGTATATAAAATCTTAGAGAGTTAAAGCACAGCAATTACAAAATATATCAGCTAAAAATGCTAGCTATTGGTTGGCCAAACTTCAGGTGCTACTTGTAATTGAGTTGAAAGACATTATCCTTACATGGTTTTCTTGCCAAAACTTACTTAGAGCACAAATCATCATATGCTCTATACTTACCTTCCTATGACCTTTCCCTGAACATCTTTTTATCATTTAAGATTTTAATGAGGCATAGTCTTAACTATTATAACAGGCCAATTCTTCAAATGTCAACCAAGTATCATATGATTCTCACTTTCCTAGCCTCCTATCATATTCTAAAGCAAGCAATTTAGAAGACATAAACCTCCTTCAATCTTATTCTATTAAAATATATTTTAGAAACATATTTCCCACATATATGAATCTCAAAGAAATTTTCATTGCACCAAAGAAGTACAAATAATACCAAAAGAAATTTAAGGCCCAAATGGATTTCCTTGCTTGTCTTTTTAAGAGAAGTAATTAAATGAGACGGGCCACAAATAATTTTTTATGCAGTAATGCAGAAATTTAAGACCTTACTTGAATTCCCACTAAATCTAAGCTCTTTATTTTCAACCTGTGTTTGCTTTCAGAGCTCCAAGCCTTAACAAGTTGACCTTTCAGTATTGCTATGTCAAGATAGCATATGCAGTTGTTCAATTTGGCCACTTGAAGATTGTCAGACTACATAGTCACTTGTCTTACTAAAATTCTTCAAGTCAAATACTAAAGACAGAAGCTCTTTAAACTAACTACACAATAATGATATACTCTACAAAATAACTTCACCCAAAGTAATAACAACTAATGGCCAACACATGTGCCCCTAGAATATAAAAAGGACATGGAGCTCACTATAAGAGGATTTTTCACAGACAATTGAGTTCTCAATTTGGTGAAAATCAATTTCCCTAGGACTATACTTACCATCTATTTTCTTGGTGTTATACTTAGCATCTATTTTCTTATTTACTTGGTGTTATACTTAGCATCTATTTTCTTATTTACTTGGTGTTATACTTAGCATCTATTTTCTCTGTTTCCCAATTCAGGTTTCCCTTGTTTACTTGGTGTGATACTCGCTTTCCCTTTTCCCTGTTTCAGCGTACTCTGTATCAATTCAGGTTCCAAGTGACATAGTAAACTACTGAAGTCAAAAGCACCAGCTGCATCATATATTTACAGGCTGTCATTTGCAAGGCCAGAAAACATGTTTGGTATTTGTCTGCTTTATATCCAATAAGCACAACAAAATGGATTGTACCATATAGGCTTGACTCTTTTACACAACCTTATCAATAACTCGATTCACAAAACAAAAAATATATTATATTTGAGTTAGGAGCGTATGAGCCATGAGTTAAGAGTTATCAACTTTGATAGATTTCTAAGGTACGCATGGCCTTCTAGTTAAAACTAAAATTCTTGTACACTAATGAAGGAGCCATGGAAAAGAAGGTGCGTGTCTCCATTTTCTCAGCATTCTCTAGCCAGAACGCTCCTGCAAAACACATATGATCTCCATTGTTCTTTCCGCAGAACAGATTTCACTATTTTTGTAACATGCAATCAGATTTCTGCAACCAAAGCAAACTGAAATATCATACATCTTCAAGTGGTTTCAGGCCAAATTCAAAATTTAAGCCACATGTACGAGTTTTTTTCCCCCCTTTTCTCTTCTTTTCTTTTTTTGACAAGACATGCATGAGTTAACTCAAAACAATCCACATGTGACATCACTGGAGAGTATATCCTTGGTAATCTTGAATCACCAAAACCTTGAATACGTTGACCAAACCAACAGAGTGATATTCTCTCTTCATCAGAAGCCCAGCTGATCCATCAGTATCATATCTATTTAACAAATGTCAACCATTTTTTTGATTTCTCGAACAATTTCTTCATAATCTATCGTGTTTATGACACATTGTGAATTATCCATAACATGTGCAAACCCAGCACTTGCTAGAGATCAGCCATGACCATTTAGGAAATAGGGAAAGTTAAAAATTTCCCATCTTTTTAAGCATCAGTGCCAGCTTGATTTTCTCAATTAAACAAATATAATAAACGAGCATAAAAATCTGCTTTGGAGATCAATAAGCAGAGGAGACCAACTTACGGCAAGAAGAAGACATATGGTTCAGTAAACCACAGGGCTCCCCATCAGGTGTGTGAACAGGGCAGAGAAAACCCCAGGATCTGTAAATTATCAAAGGGTCCGAACAATGAGTGAAAAGCAGAAAGACAGGGAAACATATGTGCAAAGCGAAAACCTCAAAGTGAATAACAATTTCAAGCAAAATATGAATCAACAGAAAGAAAACCCACTCAGGAAGCAGTTTCCGCACAGTTGTAGTGCGAAGACCAGCAAATGAAGAGCCTCGATGTACAGCTCGAAAGTGTGAAAGGAATCGGAGAAAATTTAGCCTCTCAGCCTGAACTGTCATACCAGCTCTCTAACAATCAAAACATTATTGATAGATTAGATCCAAAAATTTCAAGGTAGAACAACAAGAACAAAATGCATATGGTGATTTGTTGCTGCTCTTGGATCAGAATCCAAAATTGAGACCAGCAGCGGTCTTTCTATAAAAACACAAAATGTGAAGATAATAACTTCAGCTTCAGAAAAGCTGAAGCTTGACAAAAGCATTCATGACATCTCAGATCAATAAAACAATTTTAAAAGCAAATATCAAATATCCAAGAAGCCATAAAATGTGTCACAACCATGCTCCTCCACATAATCTAGGATAAAGAAACCAATCTTTGGTGCGATATAGATGCATATTTTCATGCAATGAGAAGTAAAATATAGTTTGATGAAGAAACCAAGAGATATAAGTCTCCAGCATATTTTCATTAACATGCCTGTTTGAAAGTCTAATTTGTTGGACTAGTATTATAGTTGTAGCTTATCCATCTACAGAATATTCTAGTTTTCATTGTGTTGAGCCAATATATATGAGAAGGCATTAGTTTCCAAGGTATTTGAATTATTAAAGAAGATACGCCTTTTTTTGTTAACATACAATCTCAAATGTATCTTTCGTCATATATGTTGTTACAGTCATGAACAAGCTTAATTGTTCTTTTTTTGGTATTTATGGCATATTTTGGTGACTACACAGTAAATATCATATTTTCTTCGGAGAATTGGTACAATAGTCAGTACTAATGTTGTTCTACAAATCATACGTAAGATCTATCTTTTCACAGCATATCACTATCACATATACCGATGCTCCTCTATCTTTTCTTCTTGCTCTAAGAGGTTATTAGCCCTAGTCACTCAGCAACTGTTAACTTTAAGTCTCAAGTTCTTGAAGAAGTTCCACAGCAACCATAAGAGAGAGAGAGAGAGAGAGAGAGAGAGAGAGAGGAGAAACAAAAATTCCGTTTCTCCAACATTGACTCACTGCTAGATGGCTAGATAGTGAGCTGACTCTACTATGGCCAAGAACAGATGGATACACAAAATTTTCCACGTGCAGGAGAGGCCTAGGCCTGTCCTCACAACAACAAAAAGAAAAGCACCATGTAATACATTGCCTTTTATCATTTTTGATAATCTGTGTTATACTCCTTGTAATGGTGATCTCTCACAATAGTAACCATTTAAAGACCATAATACATGAATCCTGCTGATATGGATCATCAGACCATGTGCAATCAAAACAAACAAAATTTCTATTTCTGATTACACCAAAAAGAAAGGAAAAAGGTACTTTATCATGTTCTTAACAACTATCCTAGGTACAGCTCAGCTAATATGAAAACAATTCTAGTAGCCTCCAACTTTCTCCAATGCAATGGGAAAATAGATGTTGCACAGTAATTGGTCAAAAAGCATCCATCTAGATTCCCCAAAAACAAAGAAAAAACTAAGGATTTCTAACAAAGTAGGTCTACTTGGAGAATCAACCATGAATGAGGTCCACAAATAAATGAACAAAAAAGGGTACCCACCAGAAGACTTTATTGACAAATTTTCAGGTAACTAGCGTGTTTGATTTGAATTGAGTGGAATAGATTCTTTTGCTACTACCGTGCCTGTTGATAACCCATATTCGCTATAGGGCTTTAAGTTTTTTATTGCTAGGGCTAGCTTTCCTAGTTTCCTATCCAGATCAAAGTTCTAGTGTCATCTAGCGTCAGGCTTCCTGTCATACTGTAGTGGAACAAACCTTCAACGGAAAAAGGCAGAGAAGGGTTTCTCCCATACATATTTTCTCTTGCCCTTACACTACTTGGATCCACTTAGATTTTCAATATGTAAAAAGAATCACCAAGACGGGAAGTAGACAAGCATTGTTCTTAACAAGTTAGCAACCCAGAACTAACAAGGCTTTCATGGCCACATCACTGATTACCTTTTATATAATTTCCAAATTTTAGAAAGAGAATGTTATTTAAGTTCAGGATAATGTTGGATCATATTGGAGGTTAAAATGTATTGGCATTAATCTTTAACTAGAAAAAAAAAAAAAAGGAAGCCCAATCCACTAGATACTGTTAAATTTCATCTAATGAAAGAAAGACAGGAAAACAGTATCCTGTGCCAAACAACAGTAGTTGCTCCTCATATATATTTATCTATCAAACAAAGTGGGAATTCAACAACACAATAGAGATAATTTAAACAGCAAATTGAATTGCCAGAATTACTTCTATACTTTGTAAAATCAAGCAAAACTCTAAGCAACATACAGAAGATAGCACCCCGACAATCAACTTTGCCCCCAGGACTACTCCGAAAAAATGATGAGAAGACCAGTAGTATGTAAATACCTGCTGCAAATCCAGCCCAGATTGGGTAAGCAGTGTTCCGGTCTTCAGCATGTTATCAATAGCTGAGCTGATCTGTTTAGGAGAATTTTTTTCGATAAGCTTCTTGATGTCAGCTACTGCAATAGCCAAAGCAGAAAAGAGATCAATTCTGCTGGTTAGATGTCTAGATTATGAAGATATCCTCCTTTGTGCTTCCAATGCACCCCCAAATTAACGATTAAATACGCAAAAACTCAATTTTGCAAGCGTCATCAATATAAGTGCCAAATAATGTCTTCAACCATCCTATTCATTTAGTAATCTATGGACCTAAAACCAATAAAATGTATATAATAAAAAGGTAATTATGCAGAAATATTCTTAGGTAAGTAATTCAAGGAAAATACAGTTTATATCAGTACAGTAGTTTTTGGAATGCTAACAAGTTTGAATTAACAAAACAAAAAATTTACCCAAGCACTATATGGTAAACATGATAGACATTAAATGCAGTCTATCTGCTGCTTTATCATCCTGGATCTTCGCTATATCCTAATCCCTACTCTCATAATCACCAAACACTCCATTGTCTTCATTTCTCTCTCCCTGAACTTTAACTTTGTTAATGCTACTATCTTAATGTCCTCCAAAAACCATTTGCTAATAATTGAGGCTACTTCTTTTACATGCTTTGGTGCATTTTGGTTTCACACAGAGAGATAAATGAACTAAAAAAAGGCTGGAGAAGCAATCGGAAAATTTAGAGGGACAAAAAACACACCTATTTTACACACCTACATGGCCAAATTTAGCAGGCCCAGAATACAGGATCTAACAAACACAAGGAAAGTCTTTACTGAAAAGGAAGGAGAAAATTCAGCTTAGAGTATTTTCTGTACTACCGACTTATTTTCCCACTTGTAATGCAAGGTGGAAGCGTACCTAATGAAACTTATCAGATCCTTCCTCTATCTCTGATATGCAGATTTATTCATCACCAAACAATTACTATTTAAAAAATGAGACGGCACCCCAGCTCTCAGCACTACAATATACAAAAAGACCTAAGGAAGTGATAGCCACCCAAAAAGAAGATACAACAGTAACACTTTCTACTCTTTCATCAATTGAAACACCAAATTAGTTCCTTAATGTGATACCCAATTGTTGGGCAAGTTTGTACAGCATATCAAGTCAAATCTTCAAGATTTGATGTTTCCATCAGCTCTATTATAGTTCTGCCCTATGTTATAGCAAACCTCCTGTAACCCAACAGGCTTGATCTTTATTTGCCTTTCCAAATGTCTAACTTTTGCCTAGTTCAATCTATATGTGAAATCAGGTGTAGAATTCTTTAACACGAATAACAATCTAATACAACTAGTATTTCAATTTGATAAGATGTTTTGCAACTACTTTCTTAACTGTTAGGAAATATTCAATAATGTATTGACTATAAAATCACTATTTTCTCATTCAATTAGCTAATTATTTAGCTAGTCAATTAACTTTGCAAGTTTCTTAACCTTTTTTCCCCTAGAAGGAACACAATCAGGATCTAGAAAACTAAAGGTCTTTAAGAATTGTGAATATTTGTTTCTAAGATTGATGCAATGTTGACGTCGTCTAATTTCTTTTACATGAAGTTGCTCTCTTTCCTGTCTCCTCTGCAAAACATTACGACTTGCTTTTCATCTTGTTTCTCCTTCTGCCTTTCCTGTCCTTTATCATAAGTTCCAAGTACATATTCTCCAGATCACTGTTTCTGGTATAGTTTATTAATCAATAATCATAACCTACAAATAACAACATATGTTCATTCACTATGAACTTCAAACTGAAAAAGAAGAAAAGCATATCAACCCAATCTCCAAAAAAAAGCATGTTAAATATTGTTACTTCAGGATAACAGAGGAAGTTTCAATCTTATTGATTTTTAGATGACCATGGAAAAAAGCATCCAGCCGGAATTTGAGAATCATAATAGTAACATACAGCTGTTGATGTCAAATTTATTGCTGTTATTAGCTTCATCTTGAAGGAGATTTTTCGTCTTGAGCAACCACTCTTGTAGCTTTTCCTGAAAAAAGGTAACACAAATAACAAAAATAGAGTTTGATAATCCATTTTGCTGAATATTGTGGTAATCCACTAAAAATTAACAATACCCTTATTGGGGGGAATTTGCTTGAACCCTTACAACGTCATTTATGCAGAAAAATACATGCTATGCAACGAGGGAAAAAAAAGAAAAGATCAAACAACATAAGGATGTCTAAATTAAATTAGAAGTTAGACCATTGACATCATAAACATTGAAATAGTAGAAAAGACAACTTCAAATTTGGAGCGCCAGTTAAAATGTGGGAGCCTAAATTTTAAAATTTGAGAAAGCCATTTTGCAATAGTAATAAACGTATAGTTTGACGGGCTACTGATCATGGTATTATAGCCAAAAGGCGGCAGACTCTTGGGTAAATTTGTAGACCTGGATTATCCACTAGGTAGAATACAAAGCTGGCCACTCAAATCAGATGTGAGTGCTTTCCTTTTTTACCTTGTTTCTTTTTTGGAACTTTTTTAAGTGTCAGTCTCTTGATCATTCCTCTACTTTCATTGAGTCCAATTTCAGTTGACTAGTTTCTCCTTTTCTGGATCATGATTATAGTCACAGATATAATTTTTACACAACTTTTTCTTGATCATTTGTTGATTCCTTCACTTTAACAAGTCCAGTTTTGGTTTATTTCTCATTTCTTTTTTATCTGGAGAAATTTTACTTCCACAGGGTGAGGTTTCTACACTCTGGACAATGGGGAATGAGGAGGGTGACGCGATAGAAGGAAATTTTTAACAAATTCATACACTATGGTTTTGTTGTTCTCTTTTTCTTGTGGGGGAAGGTGGATAAGACTAGCATATGAAACATCTACCATTATGACTTGATGAACAATCACATAAAGTACGGACAAGATATAGAAAAAATGTTTGTTTTAGTGAAGCTAATTCTGCACTTATAAAATCTCAATCAGATGTGGAATTATTTTTGTACTTGTTAAACCCACTCATCCTCCCATTTTGATTGCTAGGACTATAAACAACATCCAATACAAGACCTTAATTATGTCTTTAAAACATCAATAGCCAACATCTTAATAGCATTGACATTTTAAATTTTATTATATTTCTACAATTTTTTTTGTTAAGCATATTCCTACAAGTGTTAAAGAAGATGAATTTGAGGCTACATGACACACACAAGGTCATAATTTACCACAAAATAGCACGAGATTTCTCCCACCAATAAATGAACTGATTATATATATGACCTGTGTTTTGGGAGAAAGGAGACCCCAAGGCATTGTTTGGATTGAGGGAATGGGAGGGAAACAAAAGGCAAGGAATTGGAGAGATTTGATTTTTGTTGTTTGGATTCATTTTTGAGGAGGGAAAGGAAACGATAGGGAGGGAAGGGTCTAGTTTTGTTGAGTTATGGCGAAATGAAACTAAATTAGTTGAAATAATTAAATTTTTTTTTAAAGATCATTTTTCCCTGTCTTGTCCAATAAATTAACACTTGAATCTTTTTCTTTCCTTTCTTTTTCTTCTTCAATCCAAACAAAAATTCAGTATTTCCTTTCTTTTCCTTCCATACTTAATCCAAACAAGGTAGATGAAAATCACTCTCCTCTCCTTTCTTTACCATTGGTATCCTTTCCTCTCCTTTCCCTTCATTTCCTTCAAACTAAACGGTGCCTTTACAGAAAATCATACCCCTCTCTAACCTAATTGTCAAGTACATAAATTTCTCCATAATTGACAAGTTTTGGCTGTTGAGGAATTATTGTTTTACTACTCTTTTGCACAAGACAATGCAGTTTTTCTCAATCTACTAATACATTTATAGATAATTATTATCCAGATATATGTTGACTTTGGTAGCTCAACCTGGTCTGCTACATGTAAAAGAGAACAAAGAGTATGAGCTAGATTCAAGAGTTGGTCATAAAAGAATTTTTCAAAATAGTTGTCTGTAGCTACCAAAACTCAGCAACTGGATTACGTGAGATTTGGTGTTTCTTCTTATCGTGGCAATCGCACTATATAAATGGTGTCACAGGTGGAAGCACAAGAAATGGAAAATCCCTTTAACCCATGATCAAAGGTTTGGTTTTTAGAATAAACCAATAAAAATCTCTTGATAAAGGGGCTGGTTCAGCACACACCCTTAGTAGTTCTAATTGAAGAACTAACAACAACAAAGCTTTCATTAGATGTCAAACAAAATTACACATGATAAGTCTGCATACTTCTAGAAATGCATATGTGAGATAGGATTTAATCTAATTCACATCTCTAACTATTCCTAAGAATCCTAATCTAATTGCTTCATTATCCTTGCCTTGATTATAATGGAAGTAGACCTTATCCTGCTAATTTTAAAAAAATTCATCCTGCATCAGATGGTGCTGCGTATGTTCTTGAGAGACCCCAAAACAAATTAAGATGTTTCAATGTTGAGAGAAATGCATGTCTAGTTGTGATTGCATGGTTTGTTAACTAAGTACACATGCATGTTACAAATATGCAATCTATGAACTCTCAATTGCTAGCCAGCCAAGCTGCTTGGTGAATTACATCTTTAGGTCTTTGATCCCCTATGTGTTGTCTATCTCATTAATGACTATCAATGAAATAAAGGTTTAGAAAACCTAGAAGATTAGGTAGTCAAAATTTGAATTACAAAACAAAACTACTTACAGCTATACTAATCCATAAGTAGGGTTGATTGAGTTTAAGCTTGCAACCCACCTCACTCTTGCGATCCTAGTCATGCCCTAGCAAGACATAATACAGCATACTTTCCAGGACTTCAAGTGGTGTAAAGCCAAGAGCAGATTTAAACCCTCTATCACTTTGTTTTCCAGTCATGCCCTAAAATCTCTCCAAGACAAACTCGAGCAAGACATAATAAACCATGCTTCAAGGGGCTTAACAGGTGTAAAACCCAAGAATAAAACATTTCCATCTGCGCCTCTCCAAAAGTGAGATAATATACCGTACTTTCGAGATGTAACACCCAGACTTTCTTGGTTCATATCCCAAACAAAATCCAAAAGGAACAACAGCAAAACAGATTTGAGCTCTCACTCTGCCCTCATTGCTTTCTTAAAGCCAAAAGGAACAACTGCAAGACAGTTTTGAGCACTAACTGAGCCCTTGCTTGTTTTCCTTTACTGTAAAATTGCTGGCTTAGATGCCCAGGAACTAATATATCCTACCGCTTGAAGAAGCACTATCAAACATCTATGGAAATTTTAGTAGGTTTTGTTAGGGTGTTATCTCTTGCTTGTATATTAATGCACAAAACTAAAAACTGCCTTTTAAAAACTTTGATCTTGTTGCACTAGATAGATTGTGCCTCTCACTAGAAGTCCTGACTGTGCAAGTATTAGTCTGCTACTACTATTCTTAAAGTAAGAACCTGCACCACGATAAATCAACATAATAACCAAACACCATGGTCTACTACAAGCAACCTACCACAGGTTTACCAATTTTCATGCAATGCATTTTGCCACTTTTAAATAAGTATCATAAATTTGCCTTCTGTCTCCTCCCATTTCCGCAGCGATAGTGAATTTCATTAATGCCCAACCACCTATGATTCCCAACCCAAACCCCAACTGAAAATGGAAAAAAGAGACACGCAGACAGAGGAGGTAGGCAACAGGAAAACTAATGAAAGCACAACACTTGAGAAAGATTTGCAATTCTCCAGTCCGAAATTTAGTTCATAGGGATATGAAGAAGGCTTGGCTCAGGAATATTGTCTTGCTTGCAAGTCCATTCTCGGATCCATTATACTGTTTTTTTTTATTTTTTGCCAGATCGACTTTTAAAAATTTTTTAAAGGAGGATTTCCTGAACAAGACTAGAGTAGAATGCAAATTAACAAACCAGTTTATCATAAAGTTTCTACATCTGCAACCTCAAGAGTAGAAAATAACATGAATGCACTTTGATAGAAAACTTTGGTAGTTTGGTGTAAGTATAAGGTAGCTTCATTTCCACATAAAGTTTCATCTTAGAAATTTTAGAATAAACAAAGCAACCTCTCTTCATAAGGCAGCAAAGGTAAAAGGCCTTTACTGCAAACTATACCTTATTCATGATATCGGTTTCCTTTTACACAATACATTGGTTATGGTGGACCTTCAAATGACACTGCCATCTCAACCAAGATTTCTAGAGGTCCCTTGGGCAAAATGGTTTCATTTGAAAAGCATTTTCTTGCCATGCAACCTGGAATTTGGCAACCAACGGGACGTAATCCAAAACTAACCATGTGGAGAGACATTTACTAAATGAAAGAGGGGGATGATTAAGTTAGAGTATGATAAACCTAATCCATTTCTTGTCAAGCCCCTGGTCCAACAGATACAGCAGTAATAAAATGATAATAGTCCTCAACTATCACCACTTGAAAACCAACTTGTGACAGGGCAAAAGGCCAGGAGCAGGATGAAAATCTTAAAAAGCAGGATTTGATTATCAACAATTAGCTTATTCAACAGAGAAATATGGTCCATTTTTTAGATAATTTCTTAATCATCTGCATCAAAATCTATATGTCAAATAAATCACATGTACCACTCTTCTTTTTAAAGAGTTACCACAAATTGTAGCCATAAATTCTAGAAGTGTTCATTAAAGCAATCACAACAACATTTAACCCTTCTATAATGTAAAAATGAGAAGTGTTCAGAGCTGGACCTTGAGGTAAATGGTGATCAAGTGACCAGGCAACAAAACTTCATGATTTTGCAAAGAATCTGGATTGTCTGGCATAGAAGTATGATCTACCAGAGAAAAAAGCTTCTGCACCATAAATCTAGAGAGAAGAAGATGAAAAAACGTATATCAAGGCTTAACGTGATATGCATATGACAAATATACATACATACATACATACATACACATATATATATATATAGGTGTGCATGCGTCTACAAAGACAGAGACAAAGGGAGACAAACACACTCTATCAACACATGCACACAGTCACTCACAAACAGAGAAAACGAACTAACATGAGCAAGTTGAATTTGTCATGATTGTTATCAAGATGAACAAATATGTAGTCCTTCAAAACAGCAGCAGCAACCTGCAAAAAGGAGAGGTAAAGAACCATTACACAGAATAAGGTAGAGACCAACAACTAGAAGTTAACCAAACAAACAACCGAATATACTTCTGACAATCCGCATATCCAGATAACAAAAGCTGATTAAGAACTCATGAGAATCATTCTCAATAAAAATTAGGACATAAAACTGTCTAAGACCTAAAAAAAAAAAAAAAGATGGACTTACAACAGAGGGACTTTCATTCTCCAGTCCAATCATAACAGGTTGAAAGTGTTCCCCTGAAAAATGATGAGATTCATAATGCATGATGCAAAAAAAGAGAACTTTAAGCAATTATTAGTACCAATGGACAGAACCACTACGCACCGATGTGTTGCAGGCACTGTTTATGAGTAAAAAGAGACAGGTCCTGAACCTCATCAAGAATAATTTTTGCTCGTTCTCCAACAAGCTGGGAGCCAACAGAGCCTTTTACGCAATCGTAATTATCATCATAACAAGACGTCAAGCACGCAAAGATTTCATGGTCTGTGGTGTCAGCTAATGCCTACAAGGAATAACATCAGATGTGCAGTAAGCAAGAAACCCACAAAGTAGATAGAGAAAAATAAGGCCTAGTAAATCCTAAAATCACAAGTATCTTAAAGCCTAAAAAGACTTGCTATTCTATAGAGCTGTGACCAATCTCACTGTTAATAACAGAAAATGCTTTTCAAGCTAAAAGAATATGAATCTAAAATAAATCTACTAGTGATACATTAAAATTAATCCTGAAACCATCAAAATTGTCCTACAAATAAGTAGAATTTCCAGAGAATCTATTTTATCCAATATTCTACAAACACCTTTATCCTCATCTATGTATTAGCAGCACTGGAATTTACCAATGTATCATTAACTTCTCTTACAGCCATTCTATCATTTATTTTCACTCTTAAACATAATTAGTGGAATAGAAGGTGAGCGTGGCCATTTTCCCTTAGCAGATAAGAAAGACATTCTACAAAGCGTGTCACTCAGATTATGCATCAAGTATGAGAAGCATGCATAGATATAAAGATGATAGTGAAAAATACCTTTAGCATAACACCAACAGGAAGCATGTATTCCCTTCCTTGTATCCTACAATGGTACAAATGGTAACATTAGCCAGGACCTTTTTTTTTCCACTGTCCCTGAATAACTTCCATGAAATTTCAGAAACAATCCTCACCAGAAGGCAAGTCTGGCACTTCCGTTACTAAGATAATAAAGTCTCAGTGACACTGCTGATTGGTCCTCTCTAACACATCTGGAAATAAGAAAGAGGGGAATACTGTTAATAAAATAAGGAGCTCAGATGCTGAGACACAAGTATAGAGCTACTTTTGAAGCAGTGTTTGGTTTTCTTAACTGATAGGAACTATACATCTTGTACAAGTGATATCATGCATTGTGACTTCAGCATACCAGCTCAAAATGCATACAAGTAATGTAGAACTACAAGTAATTATCGTACTATCAAATAATTATGTCAATCAAGGGGAGGGAAGAAAAAAAAGCCTTAACTCAAAACAAACCTTATGACAACAGCTTTATCAGTGTATCCTTCTCGCCGTTCACGAAATGAATTTCGTACCATACTCGTAGGCTGGAAATTAGACATGGAACCCAAGATGAATTATTAGAATAATAAAAAAAAAGTAACATCAAGAAAATGTTTCATTTCCATTAAAAATTAAAAGTCTTTTATATAATTGTCAAATTGCAAATCAACCTTGAATCTGAGCTGTTTCCTTAAAAGAATCTACTAAAACCTGCTCTATTAACACCATAAATGCCCTACTTACATAGTTTCGCTTTGGCAAAATCAGAAGTCGAACAACTCTTTCAAGCCCATTCAAAATGAAGTATCTGATAAAAGAAATAAAACTACATTACATTCAAATGCAGATTATATATTCAATATATTATTAATAAATTAAGCTGGTTGAAAAATCATGTCAAGTATATCAAAAACACGAGGCAATCATCAGCCAAGAGCACACTAGAGAAATCATTAGCACACTTACCCACCCATTTCTGACTGCTCCTCTTTGAGAGAAACTAGTTTTTTGGGAGGAAGATTCCTCAGGTAACAAAGTTTTGACTGCACAAGGCATAACCAGAGTCCAATATGAGACAACAAAGAAATACAAAGAATAGTCAGTAGTTAGCTAAATATCACATACGATGAAAACTTTCACGTTAATATAGCATGGCATGCACTGAACACATATGTTGCAGCTGAACTCCATAGCATGGAAGTCAAAGTTTACTCAGTAATGCCACTTAAATCTTTGAATTCTGCCAACGAATACCATCTCTGACAATGTAAGTACAACTTGCATGAGATCCTTCCTTTCCAAATGGTGAACTTCAACGTGTTATAGATGAGAAATCACAGTCTCATGATCATTCAAATTTACTTATTCTTTTTAAAACTTCCAGTGGTTCACGGCACAGCTTACCCAATTAACTTCCATAATTGGGCATCAAAGAGTTGAACTAACGAGCTTATCAAAATAAAAATTGCTGACAAAAAAGATTCATCATATACTTGGCCTAAATAGACCTAAATATCGAATTACTACAGATAACCTATCTTTTATCAATTTTTTTTTTACCTTAAAAAATAACCTGTGGGTGTCACTGCTGCTTTATTCCTACTCTCTTTTTCCTTGACCTGACTGCTGATGAGTGATGGGTTGATGTCTGAGTCATGCCACTGATTCTCTTGTTCTTTTTGTTGAGTCATAAGCATTCCTTAATTTTACTAATTTCTCCATGCAGATTACTCAAATGCCTGTGGTTGGTCTGCTTGTTGACAAGGTTTGGTTGAATTTTTTTTGCTTTCTTTTTTATGCCGTTCCTCTTCTACACCCAGCATAGCTGCTGATGAGAAATCTATGAGTTTGTATGTATCACTTTGCACATTTTGCAGGATGTTGGGAATTATAAGGGCGTTAAGCTGGTTACGGGACAAGAATTATTCAGCCATCATCTTATCCTTGCCCCCACATTTGTGATCCCACCAGGGTTGACTACTCCCTCAGTTTCTCCACAAGATGGTTATTATGATTTTGTCCAACAAGATGCCAGAGAGAAGGTGGTCAGGGGAATTTGCATCACAGATAATTCCTTTAAACCGGATGTAGCAAATTGTCTGGTGTTCTATACCCCTAAATGTAAGTTCCGAATACAACATATTTCTTTTCTTGTATTTGATTTAGACTACTTTATTAGCTGACTTTCACTCTCTAGCTTTATGCCCTGACCAGATGACATCAGTCCGCATCTTCCAATTGAGCAGTAATGTGCGGGCTTGTCCCTCTGGCATGTAAGTTACCTGTCAAAAGATAATGTGGAATGCCAGTACATTTTGGTAGATTCTATGTGCTAGGAAAGAATTTGTGCCAGGCATGCTCATTTTTGTGATTCAAAGATAAGAGACGATGAAATACTTTTCAATTAACTCTTTCTTAGTTGCTAAAGATGTGAGCCATTCTGAACAATATTTTAGTGCAATTTATAAATCACAGTAATCATGCTTTTTGAACTTGAAATTCCTTATGTGGAGATGAACGTGCCATCCTCTGATGTTTTCCCTTCTTGTGCAGGTTCGTTGTCTATCTATCAACTATATGTGGCGATGTTGTTCAAGGGAAGAGATCAATAAATGCAGCAATAGAAGCTTTGTTTTCAACTTCTGTTTCTGGTAACTCAGAGGATAATTCTAGGGATCCTCTGAGGGAGAATACAGTTGTGAAAGTGAAACCGACTTTACTTTGGAGCACTTTGTACATACAAGAGCTAATTATGGTTTGTTTTTGTGCTTTCTGTTTTTCTTTTGCTATCTTACCCCTTTTCTTATAAACTAGATTCTCGCCATGTTTACAATTAGTTTGCATGTATTTTCTGCATTTCATCCTCCCATTTTTACCCTTCGGATAAGCTAGTATTGGTTTGAAATGTGCATTCGTTTTTTTTTTGGCTGATGGCTCCGAGATCTTGGTACTTGTAGGGTGGATTTGATTGTGTCAGTTCAACCCCTATGCCTGATGGGAATCTGCAATATAGCCATGTTGTAGATGCAGCGTTAAAGGTAAATGATGCTGCAATTAGTTTCAGAACGAGATCTGTTTAATCTTTTTTTTATTCTTCTGTCCTGGAACTTGGAGATTTGATTTGGATCTGTAGCATAGTAACATATTTATACTGAGGGAAGGCCCTTCTTCTATTTGTGGCAGCTGTTTCAGAAGATGTATCCAGATGATGAATTCTTCCCGAAGAAAATGCCATGTGAGGTCGTAGAGAATGGTGCATGCTTGTCTGAGGGTTAAAACACCCGACATCTTTAAGCTGAAAGTGCTGGGATTTTGAATAATTCTCTGTTTCTGTCATATAGGATATAGATGCTAGTATGCTGCTACTAAGTTAAGGGGCGGTTTTGATAAATTTTGTGCTTCATGCATATTTTGCTAGAAACCAATTGAGACACATCGCTGAAACTGCGAAGAAATCTTGTGATAGTATGAATATGAGTGGCAGGTATACTTGGGGAGAAATCCTTCTGTATCAACTTTTATTCATCACAAGCTTTTTTTTTTCAAATGGGGTCTGTAAACAAACGGAATCAAATGTGTTAATCAGTCCGGACTGAGATTAGATCAGCCAGCAATACATCCTTTACAAAAAAGGAAAAAAAATGGGAAAAAAGGGTGGAGTATCAGTCCGCTCGTCCAAATTTGCTACTTCTATAGCCTTTTTGAGCAAGTATGTTAGGCTAGGAATAATCAATGTCTCTAAACTCGGGCCTAAGAGTGAACCAAAAAAATTTTCGGTTTGCCTGGTTCAATTTTGATTCAAATGTATAATAATTTTTTTTATTTTAGCATTAAAAATTTTGAATAAAATTAAAATATTTATTTTAGATAATAAAAATTGGTTGAACTCTCAATTTTTATTGGTTCAACCGTTTTTTGGCCAAATTTGACGAATTCAATTGATTTTTTAGATTATTCATTGAATTGGATTGGAGGCATGATCCGTTTGTAGTTTGACTGGTCGAATCGGTCAATTCGATCCGATTTTCAAAACATTGGAATAATAGGAGATTATCAATATGTATTGCATCATTGAAAATAGAGAAAAATTAAAAAAAAACTCTTTATTTTTTTATATTTTATTTGACTTATATACGTAAGATAAAAATAATAAATTTGTCTTTTTTGCCTAATTTGAAGAATTAAATCTGCTTTCTGATAGAGACTTCTTAACTAAAAATAGATTTTGCGAAGTGCTGGGTTGGTTATTAGGGCCGATTTTTTGAATTGTAACCCTAAAAAAATCAACGAGTCACACACTAAGCATAGCAATTTTATCAAATAATCGATCAAATTTTTATTTAACCTTATGGAATTAAAACTAGTTTTGAGAAAAGAATGAAGAGGTTTAAATTTAGCTTTCTAAATTAGATAAAAGGAAAAGAAAAGTCAAAGTTTATTATTATTCCTCATCTATAAATATTTAAATTTTTATGCCTAATACATCATAGATAGTTGAACTGTATGGGAACAATAATCAATTTTAGCTCGGATGTTTTGTAAAGGAACCTTACCCCTTCTAATCCATTCGATGAGTGCAATTTCTAATCTCCGATTTTCTTTACTTTTCTTTCCTCTGGGCAATCTCGTGTGGAATTTTCATTGCAATTAATTTGTGTGGAATTTTTCATTGCAATTAATTTGAAGAGGATGATAACGTGCCTACAAAGAAGAAGAACGTATAAACTTACTCCCGCATGGGACGCGCAATTTCACAGCAAACTTCAAACAAGGTTTCGCATCTGAGAAAGATGAAGAAAATTTTTTGGGTTGTGTTATCACTCTTGATGAACAAAATAAAGTCTTAAGAGTACTAATCATTCAAGTATTGCCAGTTTATCCAGCCAAAAAAAAAAAGATGGAAACAAAAAGGTCTGGGTTTCTTTTTATGCAATTCTGGCTAAGGCATATTGTTTCTTTTATTTTCTTTGAGAAAGGGCATCCATCCGAAGTCTATGGCCTTGTTCTCAATTACTTTAGATTTTACAAGATCTAATTATAGAAACTGATTATAGACAATAATTAGAATTAGCAAAAGCTGCTCTATAAAATTTAGCTTTTTTAGTGATTAAATAATCTATAATTATAATATAGAAGCAATCGAGAATATCACAAAAACTAATTATTCAAAATCAAAATCTATAATTAGTTAAAATAATCAATTAATAACAAGCCCTATGTTATCTAAAATATATTACCAATTGTTACTATTTAATGTTCTTTTTTTTTTGTTTGCGTGTATGGGTCACCATGCAAATACGCCGTTTGGATTAGCTGTTTTTTAGTGTGTTTTTGAAAAATTGTACTGTAGCAGAATTTTTAGAGTATATTTTGAGATATTTTTAGAATATATTTTGGGATATTTAAGAGTAGCAGAGTTTTTATAATATATTTTGGGATATTTTTTAAATATTAAAAAAATTTAGACTACTTTTTAGAGTACTTTTTAAAATTTTTTATAGTTTTTGAAAAACTGATGAATCCAAACAGCTGTTTACTCAACCAGAAATAATCCGTTCTATTTAAAAAAAAAAATATTTTTGGGTCCCATAATTGGCCGTAATGAATTCTTTTCTATTCCTTCATTCTGGCATACAATTTACTTTTTCATAAATTTGATTTCTTGTAGTTTGTTTCCTCACAGCCTTATATATACTAATAATTTACTTATATATTTGTGTCTTTTAGCCAATCAAATAAATCCTGACGTGTATCATTTGACGATTATTATAGAATGGTGACGCTTAAACATAAGAGTTGACAATCGCACCCCCCCTCCCTTTCTCCTAATAGGTGGCTTTTTGCTGGAGAAATGACTGTAAACTTATATTTGTAGACTCTTATTTTTTTTAATTATTTATAGACTCTATTTATAAACATCTTAAGGGAAAAAAAAAGAATTCTTTCCTTCCAAAAAACGTGTTTTATAAACATCTTAATGGGACTAACAGATTTGTCTCAGTTAGCTTGGCCTTCAAGCATATCTGTTTTCTGACACGCGCGCACACACACAATATTTCAACAACCCAACACACAGTCACATACTCCCTCGGCCTCACCCATTTTCTACGGTTTTACCTCTCACTTCCCAGTCCCAACTCCCTCAGGCCTTCTCAGTTCTCTGCTATCTCATTTAGAGCTGCAAACGAATTGAGCCGCTCGCAAGTCGAGTAAAACTCGAATCGAAATCAAGCTCGAACTTGAGCTCAAAATATTAAGCTCGCGAGCTCGAGTATATATATATAATATTTTTTATTTTTTTTATTTTAAGTATATATATATTTTTTATTTTCTTATTTTAATAGTAAAATCACATATATATCCTTAATATTTTATTATTTATTAAGAAAAAATATTATTTTATTTATTTTTTAAAAAATAAAATAATTATTTTTTATTTTTTTTCAAGCTCGAGCTCGACTCGAATCGATTCGAGTCAAGCTCGAGTTTTAAATTGCCGGCTCGTCAAGCTCGAGCTCGAGTTCGAGTTTAGTAAAATTTAGTCGAGACTCGGCTCGATTAACCCAAAACTTGACTCGACTCGACTCGTTTGCAGCCCTAATCTCGTTTCTTCTTACTATTGCCTGAAAAATTTCAGGTACTAAATGATATCATTTTTTTTATCCTAAATGATATCCTCCTCTCTCTTCGCTCAAACTTTGATACTAATGATATCCTACATTCATCTTTTCATCTTTTTTTTTTTGGAACGATTTTATGTTAATGATGCTTGGAATTCTGGAAACCTCTTGTTCTCCAGCCATTTAGGTTTTTTTCCCCTTCCGGTTGAAATATGAAGCGCACCAGTAAAATGATTCTATTTGATTTCAGAGACAAGAAGTTTGTTCTTATTAAGCTCCAGTACTTCCTCTGATTTTTTTTTCTCCTTTGGTTTGCATTTGCAAGCAAACATATGGATGCCTTTTTTTGGCTCTCAAGAGTTCATTGCTGGGTCACTGCTTTAGCGAAGTTGTTTCTTAGATGGTCTTGAATGGAATATGTGGTTGGTTCTAAAGTGTAAACTATGGAGAGTGCTCCTTTACATTTTAGTGGTTTTGGTTCGCAGAAGTGTGAACATTTGTTGGAATTGAATAGTGAACAATTTTGGATGTTTTAGAACTGCAGATAATTTATATACCTCACTAAACTATTGTACTATTCTTGTTTCCTTTTTTGGTGTATATAGGAAGTAAAATCGAATGAGCATTTGATGACAAACTAGGGCTTGTTGAAGACGAAAATTTAAAGAAATTCTACGTCCTAGTAGCAGTAGGCCGACACCTCCATTCTTGGCCTGAGATGGCTGCTTCTCTCTGGAAATTGGAATTGTGATTTGCTTTGTGCCCAATTTCTTTGAAGTTGCTCTGTTCATGGTATGGAAACGCATCGGAGCTTCACACTTATAGAGATGACTGCTGGACGTGAATAATTGATGGTTTCTGATGTTTTCGAACTGCACAAGTTTATCTCATTAAAATCTTGCTGTTAGAATGTCAAGGAAGAATAGTATACCCATATTAATTCTGTACGAATGCTGTTATCACCTTGTTCTAGTTTATATTATTTTTCAAGCTATAACTCTATTAATTCTGTTTTTCTTTTCAAAATCAAGCTCTCGACCAGTATAGCTCTCCATGGACACTATTGGTGCCAAGAATACCGAGTTAAAATTCGTAAGTCTATTAATGAAAAAATATCCATGATATCATTTTATTTTGGTCACTTTTAATTTTTAATTTCTTTTTTGGATCCGGCAGGTTACTCTAGGGGATTTTGGAGTTGGTAAATCCAGCATTATATCACGTTTTGTGAACCAATTTGTGGACGAAGAATTCCCTGATGTTGATGTGAGCAATTTTAGGCAGTTAGTAGTTTTTTCCCGTATTTAAAAAAATAAAAAATCATTTGAAATTGGTTGATCATGTTGTTCATTGTAATATCAGAGGTTATGCTGGGATATGACTCCATCCTGCGAACCCTGGAGGTGGGCGGTCAGGGCAACTATTCAGCAGTCAAAGTGAGAATATTTGACACTAATGCCCAAGAGCGTTATGTTGGGTAAATTGTAAAGGACTAGCAAATATTGTAACAAGAATTGGCTTCAAATCGTGATAGAAATCACTTTCCTTTAGGTTTTATTTGTCCGGTATAACGTGCAATAACCTTGGACAAATATCCTTTAAGATAAGATGAAATTTTGTTTGCCTTAAACTCTTGCACAAAGCAAGACAAACTCTTTGTGAACTAAGGAGTGCTTTTGAGAGAGTAAGGATAGTAGGAAAGTGATTTTCTGCAGCAAACCACTCTCTACTTGACCTCTTTATATAGGAAGATTGTTTGGGAAATAAAAAACCTCATTAAACACTTGTATGAATAGATTCAAAGTATTGTGTACACATTTATGCACTTTAATTCATGCATCTCATGATCATTAGATCAAAACATGAATCTATCCTTTCATTCAATAATTTTCATATACATGAATACATTCATAAATGAATGTACATT